CCTGAGGAACTCCGCTTGTCACTGGTCTCCAGGAAGACACTGGTCTCCTTGATGAAGATATTGAACAAAACTGGATGCAGTGCTGAACCCTGGGGAACACCACTGGCCACAGGCCTCCAACTTGACTCTGTGCCACTGGTCACAACTCTCTGAACTCTGTTGTTGAGCCAGTTCATAATCCACCTCATGATGGGATTAGAATGCCCCCAGGCTCTCAGCAGGAGCCTGCAGCGGAGCAGGAGCTAAACTGGGATGACCTCCTTAAAATCCATTTTGGTTTTGTTCCCAGAGCCATTTACCTGTGAAAAATGCTGCATTTCACTGCATACTGGCCTTTTAAACAGAGCTGTGCAGCAAGAAGGGGTTCCTGATGCCAGCTGGAGAGGGTAGGAAATCAAAGGGAGAAGAGGTGGTGCAGAGGGCAGCCAGCACTGTTCCTTGCCTAGGCAGAGCATGAGTCTGCGGGGTCTGCAGAAAGATCTCCTACCACCTCTGGGGCTTGTGTCCTCCACAGCCTGGGACAAAGCACATGGAGCCAGCTTGGCAGAAGAACCCCGTTTCCACGTGTCCCTGGTTTTGGATGCCTGACCTGAGACACTCTGTGTTTTCTTTGTGGAGAGGCAGGGGGCCTGCAGCCCCCCCTTGTCTTCAGGCTTTTACACAACAGGCCCAGGCTCTCCATGGCGGCTTCCCAAAGTCAGAAGAGAAAGGCCCATTGTTCCGCTCTCATACCCCATGCCTGCGGGGACACGGCACTGGGGACTTTGTCATTCTCTGCTGTGACAAATGGTGTGTGTCAGTACTGTGGGCTGCACAGGATGCCCCTGGAAGGAAAGGCTCTCGGCAGAAAAGCCCTTGGAGGACCAGAGTACCAGACCCTCAGTCCTGGCACACAATGGTGGCAAGAGTGGAGTTTCACCTGCTGCCTCCCAGCCTCGTCATCCCCTTGCTCTTAGGCTAGGCTGCCATGTGGCACCTGATATCACACACCCTCACCGCTCTGCTTCAGCCCCACCACTCACCTTCATTCTCCTCCCTGTCCTGGCCAGACCCCCAAGATTGCTCAAGCCCCTCCTCCAGCTCCTCGTTTTTGGTAACTCAGCTCTAAGAGTGTACCTCTGCCCCAAGAAGTGGCCCTTGCAGGAGGCCATGGCACGGATTCCCAGGGAGGCAAAACTGCAGCATGGTTCACCTTCTGCTGTTGCCCTGCTGTGAATGCCAACGTGATGCCCCCATGGTAGCTCTCCAGGAACAGAAGCTCCTTGCGCTCTTACCAGGGTCTCTAGGCCCACAGAGGGAAGAGCCAGGATTCCCGCTCTCCTTCCCAGCATTTTATGTAATACACGATAAAGAGGCCAGGACAAAGCCAGGGAAGCCCCCTCTGCTCACCTCGAGAGAAACGGAGGCCTTTGCCAGCAAACTCCCTCTGCAAGGCTGCCACAAACTTCTCCCGGATCCGCTCTTTCTGTGGAGAAGGAAGAAAGGGAAGGAAAAAGGATTTGAATAATTCGATATTGACAGCCTACCAAAAGCCACCACAGAGCTGTCTGTTGGGCAGCTTACTGCACTCCCCCTTCCCACCTGTACCCAGTGTAACGCCATTTAGCCAGCTTTCACCAGTCCTGCCCAGTGTCTGCATGAAAAGCCACCAGCTCAGGGCAGCTCCAGGAGGCTCCTGGCAAGAGCAGATCCCAGCCTCTCCCTGGCAATGAACTTCAATGGCTTCAATTTCCTAGAAGCCCAGATCATAACCCAAAGCTTCCAGCTTGGCTTAAAATGTCTTTAAAAGTCTCTTGACCCCAGGAAATCCTCCACTAGGGAGCAACTGCGCAGGGCACGGGCCAAATGATCCAGAGAGATCTGCCCAGCGGATCCACTGTTGCCCTCTCAGCCTGGAAGGCCCATTAGTTTCAGCTCTGTTGAGGCTGGGGTAGTGGGACAGAGAAGTCAGCTGCTGGGCCAGCCTGGAGGGACGGAGCAACCTGAGAAGTTTATGTCTCTCTCAGGTTTTCAGTGCAGTTCTGTCTTTGGTTACTGTAAACAAGGAGACATCCTGCTAAATGAGCACCTTGTTCCCTGTCAGTCTCCCACAAGGGATCGTGCCTGCCACCTCACTGCATCAGTAGTCCCCAATGAAGTCAAATTCTTCCACTCATCTGGAGCTGGGCTCCTTTCTCCTTGGGAAGGGGGAAGCAGGTAAGAACCAAGATCTGTGGTGGTGCAAAACCAGCACAAAAAGGAGGGTGAGCCTGTGTCTGACCCGTGTACCTTGTCCAGCTCGGAGAACTCGATTCGCTCTTCTGGGGTGCAGCTCCGTCCGATGGGGGAGATGTTCAGCATCCCGTTGCGAAACTCAATGAAGGTTCCTCTGTGGGTGGGCAAGGACACGAGGTTACAAAAGGGGAGACGGAGTTTCCAGAGGAACAGCTGCTCAGTGGTGTGTGCTGTCTCTGCAGGGACACACAAGTGGAGAGAAGCCATGCCCACATATGGGTGCTTCAGGCCAGGCAGAGACCAGATATCGACAACTCCACTTAAGGTCTCCAAGGGGCTCATAGTTTTATTAAAAGAGATTAAGATAAGATTAATAAACAATTCCTGTGTGCTCTGGGGACAAGCTGGAAGGAATGAGCTTAGCTGAGATGATAGCAAACATTTTCTAATGTTGTAATAACTTCAAGGACAGCTATTGCCTGGACTGGACCAACCACTTGGTGAGACTGTGGCATCTCCACCCTCTGAGGCTTTTAGGAAATGTCCTCTGTGGTGGGCTGGGTGAAGCTGGCAGCGCTTTGCAGCAGTAGGATGGAACAGGTCAGTGTAACTCGCTGCTGATGTCCTGCAGCAGACTGATGAGCAATCAGCACCTCCTCGTGGGACACCAATCAGGTAGGATCCAGAGCGCCTTTGTATCTCCTCTTTGTCCCTGTACCTTTGAACACAACTCTTACCTAAGCTTGCACAGACAGGATCCAGCTCCTGCTTGCCACCCTCACCTTGTACTGGGATCACTACTCTGCTGCTTCCTCGGCGGGCTGGTTCAAAAGACTAAACTCACAAAGCTGCTCTGTCCTTTTCTCTTTGCTACAAACCCAGCTGGTTCTGTTGGAATACCTCACTGAGGAGTTAGACAGGTACCAGCACTGGTGGGGCAGAAGAAACAGGGGATGGAAGGACTGTCAATTTGAAAATAGAATCACAGAACATGTTGGGTTGGAAGGGACCTCTAAAGGTCATCTAGCCCAACTCCCCCTTCAGTGAGCAGGGACATCTTCAACTAAACTAGGTTGCTCAGCAAGCCTGACTTTGAACATCTCCAAGGATAGAGCCTCCATCACCCTCCCAGGCAACCTGTTCCAGCGTTTCACCACCCTCACTGTAAAAAAACCCTCCAAACCATTACCTCCTGTCCTGCTGCAACAGGCTCTGCTAAAACGATTGCCTCCATCTTTCTTATAGGTTCCCTATAAGATTATAGATTGAAACTCCTGTGGAAACCAAGCTGGAGCAAGGAGAGCAAGGAGATCCCTTCTCTGTTCAGTTGAGGAGCCCTGAGCTCATTAACCCTCCAATGTCCCTTCCAGCCCTGCCCACTGTTTCTCAGGGACAAAGTGCTTACCATTCTGCATCTGGCAGAAAAACTCTCCACCTACTGTCTCTTAACATGGTGAAGAACATCATGGAGAATGGACACAGGGACAGCCATGCCAGCAGCCTGGGAGGAGCATCTCTGCAGCACCAAGGGTTTGGGGGCTCATGCTCCAGGCCAAGACCTGGGAGATGTGGGTTAAAGTCCTTACTTTGCTGCAAATCCTGTAATCCTAAATCCACAAGAGGCACTTGGGAGCTGAAACTTCACCAAACTGTTGGGCAACAAGACAGCAATGAGGCAACCAAACAGCCTTGAGGGTTCTGGGTCCCAGCCCACACTTTCAGGGGCATGCTCAGCTGGCAGTCCTGTCACAAGGAGCCACCCTGGCCCCTCTCACCGGTTCTTGTATTGCCACACAGTGACTCATGTCAGGCAATTAATCCGGATCACAGTTTAGCAACTTTTACCAGCTTCATTTTGACCAGATGGCTCGCCTGCTTGGGCTCACCCTACAAACACAAGGGGAGAGCCGGAACAAACCAGCCAGGGCAAGAGAAGGGCAGAGCCAGTGCTGTCAACAGCACTGCTGGCTCATGTTGGCTTCAGTTGTTTGTGAAACCATGGTCTCAGGCGTGGTTTGACACTGCACCCAGGCTGGTTGAACTACAGGCTGCCTCTGAAAGAGGTCCTCCTGCTCTTCCCTTCCACCTTCATGCCATCTGTTTCCTCCCTCTCCTTTCTGTGATAACAGGACAAGCTGATCCAATGGAAAACCATCGTTTTTTTCCTGGGCAGCGGCCTAGCCTTCCTGCAGAGGAGGTGCACGAACCCAGTTCACCCTGTACCTGCTCGATGGCATGGGGGAAGCAGAGAGGAACACACAGTGGGGGCAGAGCAGGGTCAGCCCTATGACCAGTGGTGCCAAGCAACACTGGATTAGAAACAGCGTGAAACTGAATGATCAAGCATTGGATCTCCCATCTTAAAGAGTCATTGTTTGTCTGTTTGGAACCTCACACAATCAATGAAGCCTGGTGCCCTGATCAGTAACGAGCTGGTACCATTGTCCTAAATGAGATGCACACACTGGCTGTACCCTGCTTCCCAGGGAAAAAAAATCTGAGGGACAAAAGAGCAGGCATTATGCTAAAAAGTAGTGCTGGCTCTCCAGAACTAAGATGCTCCTCCATTATTTAACCACAGTGCCCAGCTTGGTGGGACAGTGATCCTACACGAGGCCTCTAGATGCTACAATAAAATCTGGAGCAAGACAAGTTCAGTAGCTCAGTTGTTTTTAGGAGAGCTCTGGAGCCCAGAGCTCCCTAGGAATCAGTAATATGACCGCTGTTTGCACAGACTTGGGCCGTTACCTTTTCTTGGGCAGCTTCAGCAGTGCCATGTAGTTGAGACAGAAGTTGATTAGATCCTGCAGCAGCTCTTCCCCCAAGTGGTCCTGAATGGCCTGCGGGAGGAGAAGGGGGAGTGAGGTAGATGCCTGACCTCCCATGAAGCCCACCCAAGAACATGATGTGGAAGCTGATGAGGGTCAGGCGCTGCTCGCCACGGCACGCAGGGCCTGGGGAAGGAGAGCCATGGCTGCAAGGGGCACTGGACCTACCCGCTTGGAGACCAGCTGCCCATTCTTGTATTGCACCGTGCCGTTCTCTGCGAAGACGAAGTCAAACTTATCGATGACTGAGTGGGGGAAGGAAACAAAAGAGCAAACATGAGCACCCCTTGGGATAAGGGGCCAAAAGAAGTGAGCTCAGGACTAAGCAAGACACCCCCCCACTTCCTTACTACCGCGCTTTCCACGTGCTCTGCAAGGAGCCAGTGACCCCCCTCGCTCTCTGCAAAGTGGCCGAGGAGATTATCTTCTGCTCCCAAGTGGGGAGCTGACGCATGTGGAGGGTACACGACCTGACCGAGGTCACAGGCTGAATCAGTGGCAGGACACAGATAAGGGCTCCAGAACGTCAGGCTTTCAACCATGTGCGTGTTACCCCACGCTCTCCCTTCCCCACTTGCCAGGGTGGTGGAGCGATGTGCTTACTGGTTACCTGATGGGGTTACTGGTTACCTGATGTGCCTGCTGGTTACCTGATGGGGTTACTGGTTACCTGATGGGGTTACTGGTTACCTAAGCCCAGATCATCCTCCTGCAACCCGGACACACCGTGCTGCCGGCTCAGCAACCCGCCTCACCTGGGGATTTCTCGGCCTCCCTCGGCAAAGGAGGCAGAGCCCGGCCGCCTTCGGCATCCACACCAG